GTTCGAACTATTACTGCCTTCATTTTAATTTCTCACATATACCCCACGCCAGGCCCTTCCATGCAGCCCTGATGCGCAAGGATTGCAGGCGAGAGATTTCTATTAAAGGTTTTTGTACTACTATTTTTAATCAACAATTTTTACTATACCATAAAACCGCTTTGGCTCCATTTCAGTTTTGGGGGATTCGTTCGAGAGTGCTTAAAATTAACTACGTTATGGCGGCGCCCTATCGGGAGTTTTAGCTGCATAATCCGTCGCTACGTTTTGCGGTGGAATCCTGCGCGCCCCAGGTGAAAAAATCGCACATAAATATGGCCTCTAAAGCGCGACTTTTCGCAGGAATTTCTACTAGGGATTCAGTGAGTCTTGAATTTTGCACACAGTTAATACCCCTAGTAAGGTCTACTCTAAAAACATTCTTTAAATTCGATTCACATTATTGACAATAAGTATCTACTGAACACTTTGAAGTGAGCTCCGCCGCAGACGGTAGTCTAGGTTGTCAATTTTTACGAGCGCGACCCAAAAGATCTCTGGTCATTGATTTTTGCGCGAGCTTCGAATGATTACTAAAGCGTCTTTCGTTCATTTCCTTGTCGTGATACTATCAGCGTTGAATGAACAAGAACTTGTATACCCACTTTTATTGGGGATCGTTGTTGAACCTGGCATAGTTCTATAAATAAATTGCTACACCAAGTTCAAGCCTTTGTTGTACACTGGGCTAGGCTTCCCTAGCCGAGAAGGAACTCGGCACGTGTGTCCACACCTCCTGCCTCGTCACGCTACCGTTGGCTCGACGAGAACTTGTCAGATAGACCCGTATATGTACAACTCGACCTTCGTGTTAGAACGGCAGAGAACAGGAGTCAACACTCGTGCCGTCCTCGAGTCAGGATAACAAAGAGAGAACACGCGACAGCGCCAGCGCATAAAGGAACAGGTTATGCGCGACCTTCAAGGGCGGACACCACGCGAGGACGCAAAGGAATTACGCGCACTCGAGACCACCGCCGGTCGGGCTCTGTCGTGCTGAGGTCACGCCTGACCAGGGGCAAAGCGCGCGCCAAGTGTCACACTGAGGTCGACGCACGATGGCTGCCAGCAGAAGGGCCGATATGGAAAAAATACCATTGGTCCTTAAATACGCTGCGACCGACAGGAGGCGGCACTCTGCTGCTGGCAACACGAGATTCTGCT